CTTTATTTCCATTGTTAGGTTTGTAACTGTCCACTTTTAAGATTTTTCGAATTTCAAATCTTATATAGTTTCTAGCACTTCATAAACCGTGATACATTTTCATCACTGCTTTTCCGGTTCTATACAAAGCAATCGGATAATCTTATTGAAATGGAATGTAATACGATCAACCGCCAAATGTGTCTCCATTTTTGTGATTAATCTCTTTCTCTAACTCTCTAGGTCGGTCTCGTTTTGTCGTTTCTTTATTCTTTCATTTCTTGGGTGAGCAATGTCATTGCCTCTCCATTCACCTTACGTTTCCACGATTACATTCAAGCAATTCTTATGACGAACAGTATTGTGTTTCGTGTTCGTTTTCTTTCATTGTCCTTCCTTCCTTTTCATAATTGATTTTCCTTCACAGTTTACATTCCTTCTTTCATTTTCTTCATCTCGTCATGAACTCCTGCCTTTGTTTCCAAAATAGTTCTTCCTTCTTCTGTAGATTCAATTCTTTCATTCGGCTATCAATTCCTACTTTTCAAAATTCTTCTTTTCATCTTCCGTTTTGTTGTAGATTCTTATCGTCTCAAAGTTAATTCTTTTGTTATTTTCAAAAATATTTATATTTCTCATTTTATTTTCATTCATTTTTCCAGTTATAAATAACTTCTTTCATTTTCTGAAGGAATTTCTTCCTTTTATTTATTTTAATTCATTTTTCGCGTTATAAATACCTTTTCACATTTTCTAAAGGTTTTTCTTCCTTTTATTTATTATCATTCTTTTTTCTCGCTATAAATACCTTCCTTCGTTTTTTTAAATGGTTTTCTTCCTTTTATTTATTTTCATTCTTTTTTCCCATAGCATTTCTCCTTATTGCATTTTCTAAACATTTTTCGTTCCTTCTTATTTACATTCCGTTTCTCCTTAAAATTTCCTTTTACCATTCTCTAATTTGTTTCCATTCATTTATTTTCCTTCGTTTTTCCCGTATAATTTTCATTTTCAAATCTTTAAATATTTTTCTCCCTCTTTCTATTGTCAGTCATTTTTCTCATATCAATTCATTCTTTCATTTTATAAAGTTTTCAAATTCTTTTTTCATTCATTTTTTCAATATCACTTACTTACCACTTATAAATATCTCCTTTCACTTGCGATTAAAACACTATGAAAATGTAAAAAAATAGGCCTTATTACCAGCAATACAATTTTTTCTTCCTTTCATTTATTTTCAATCATTTTTTCTTCCATTTTCCAAGAGTTTTTCCTTCCGTGTTTTTTCATTCAATTTCCAATATAAATTCCTTCTTCCATTTTTTTAAATGATTTTCTGCTTTTAATTTTCATTGACTTTTTGCATATAAATTCCTTCTTTCATTCGCAAAATCTTTTTTATTTATTCCTTATAGTTACATTCATCTTTCACATATCAAGTCAATTTTTTTAAATGATTTTCTTCCTTTTTCGTAAATTGTTCCCAAATAAATTCCTTCTTTAATTTTCAAAATGTTTGTATTTTTCCCATTTAATTATAATTCATGTTTTCCATGTTCAATTTTGTACATGTCTTTCTTCCTCCTATTTATGTTCATTCATTTTCTTGGATATATATCTATATACCCCTTCACCAACAAGCTGTAAGTTAATTAGTATCATTAATTTATTATCTCCAAAAAATTCTTACAATCTAAAAATGTTTTCTGGCTTTGAATAACTTGCAAAAGATATAAGCCATAAAAATATCTAATTGATATATCAAATTCTCTTGGTCCTGCATAAGACGATATACTAAATCCAAGAGCAACGTCTTTGATCAGGAGGTTTTGTGAAGCGTAAAACCACCTCTTAGGGTCCCAGCTATGGGGAAAATAGTTAACCCCGAGACTTCCATAAAAGCACCATGAAAGTGTAAAAAATAGGCTTCATTACCAGCAATACATTTTAAAAAATTATTATCAACAATATATTCTTGAAGAAAAAATTTATACGGTAATTGGTTATTACCAGCAATATATTTTTTATTTTTTATTTACTTTGTTATTACCAGCAATATATTTCAATTCGTTATTACCAGCAATATATTTTTTTATTTAATTCGTTACTACCAGCAATATATATATATTTTTTTATTTAAATCGTTATTACCAGCAATATATATATTTTTTTATTTGTTATTGCCAGCAATATAATTTTTTTATTTAATTCGTTATTACCAACAATATAATATTTTTATTTAATTCGTTATTACCAGCAATATATATTTGTTAATTCGTTATCACCAGAAAATTAATTTTTTTTTTATTTAATTCGTTATTACCAGCGATATAGTATTTTTACTTAATTCGTTATTACCAGCAATATGATACTTTTTTTTTGTTCGCTATTACCAATAATATATATTTTTTATTTAATTTGTGAATACCAGCAATATATTTTTTTATCATTCAGTTTCCCCAAGTCTTTTGAACAGAACTAGTGGTTTATCCTTTTTTGCTTCTTTGTTTCTTGTCTTTTTCTTAGATAAAGAATTTCTGGATAAGACGATAAACTAATTCCAAGAGGAACGTCTCTGATCAGGAGGTTTTGTGAAGCATGGAACCACCTCTTAGGGTCCTACATTTTAGATTACCATTTTCTTAGGGTCTCAGCTATGGGAAAATAGGTAACCCCGAAACTGCGATTAAAACACTATGAAAATGTAAAAAATAGGCCTTATTACCAGCAATACAATTTTTTTTAATTATTATCAATAAATACTTGAAGAAAAAATAGTACGTTACTTCATTATTACCAGCAATATTTTTTTTATTTTTTAATTCATTTCGTTATTACCAGAAATATAATTTTTTTATTTAATTCGTTATTACCAGCAAATAATTTATTTTATTTAACGCGTTATTACCAGCAATATATTTTTTATTTAATTGGTCATTACCAGCAATATTTTTTTTTATTTAATTCGTTATTACCAGCAATATATTTTTTTGAGAAAAATATTACCTGCAATATATTTTTGAAGAAAAAAATATTACCAGCAAATAGACTTTTGAAAAAAAATAATATTACCAGCAATATATTTTTGAAGAAATTGGTTGGTTCCTTTTACCGCAACCAGCAAGCACCTGACTTCACGTGCTACATTGTACTGAACCACTCTGATTACCTTCCATGAGATGTAGGTTTCACACTAGCATATTCTTTCCACTAACCGTTGATTTGATGAATCTATTCCCAAGAGGATGCTTCCCCGATCAGTGAAATCTTATCCTGTTCATGTCTGGTGTTAGCTGTTATCTAACGCAGATATCCGCTTCAATTCTGACACTTAATTTGTAAAGCTCTAGATCGAGTGGACCTCAGGCTTTCTACAGGGTGAACATCATTGTAAAAAGATAAAAATATTCCGGTGTCCAAATCTATCTATCTATCTATCTATCAGCCTTTCGATTTGTCTGTCTGCCTATCTAGTTTGTTATCTATCTATCTATATATATATATATATATATATATATATATATTTAGCCTTTATATTTATATACACTGTTATAATGCCTTTCCGATCTGTCTATATCTATAATAATCTATAATAGTTTGTTAATATCTATCTATCTATATATATATATATATATATATATATATATATATATATATATATATATATATATATATACACTAATAACTTCATATCTATCTATGAGCCTTGAAATTAAAACTAAAATGAATGTTCGTAGAGTTTGTCTGTCTATCTATAATAATCTAAAATTTTTTTCCTTTTGGGTATGGTTTATTAATTTTCTATATTATTTATCTATCTAAATCTACTCAACGATATGGATAAATATTTGTATATATATGAATATATATATATCCTTAAAAATATGAATATATATCCGTATTTAAAAATATAAAAAAGGAGTCCAATATACTTGATGTACTTGAAAATCGGACCCTTCTCACCTTGACATAGTGTCGGAAACCGAATATCTTTCTATCTGGGATCTATTTTGTCCTAAGAAATCTATCTATCTGATCAGCCTTTCATAATTCCTGCTATTTGCAGTGCTAGTAATATGAGGGAATTTAATTTTCCGCCATATTCTTTCATGTAATGGACATCCTAATCTATGTATATGGTCATGCGGGATAAAATATATATATAGGATATCCAGTATAAAATATACATATATATTTATATAAATATACATGAGCTAAGTTGTATATCGTCTTGTCCATGACTGTTAGCTCTCAGCCAATTAATTGTTCATTTTGTCTGTCTAGATAATCATAGGATAATATTTTTCTTAATGATCTATTTTTAAATGTAGTTATATATATATAGGAATACTTTGTTAGTTTTATCCCGCATGTCCCATTACGAATCTCATTAGGAATCCATTACGTATTGAAAGAATATGGTTAATCTTCCTCATCTAAAACTCATCACCTTTCTGATCAGTATTTGTTTGCGTTTCTGTCAAAATGCGCGTATAAAAAGTCTATAATAGTTTTTAATATATATTTATCTAGGGGGTCCATGAACATTATGTAAACAACAAGACACGAGTTGGACTCCTTTTCAATAAGAAACTAGTGTTTTAAAAATTTTTTTTCTCCTATTTATAGATATTTATATAAAACTACCGAAGAAAGAAAATAAATAAATAACTTGTTTTTTTTTTTTAGGAAGGGACGTTACAACAAAAAGTTGATAGACTTTAGAAGGAACTAAAATAGGGAAAACAGCATTTTAAACAGGAAACTAAGACATTAAACCCTTCATTTCTATTAAAAAAAAAAACCATTCAATTTGAGGATTGACAAAATACTTCAATATTTTTTGAAATATTTAAAAAATGGTCGTTTGTTTAAAAGTTATCATCTTTTTTGAAATAGACATTAGAATGCCGTTAAGAAATAACCAAAAACAATATATATATATATATATATATATGTATATATATATATATATATAAATATATATATATATACATACACCATAGTAAAAAATTCATATGTATCTATCTATCTATCTATCTATCAGCCGATCGTCTGCCTATCTATAATAATTTGTTAATATCTATGTATTTATGTATATATATATATATATATATATATATATATATATTTATATATAACTTTCTTGATAAATATCTATGATATTTATTTTCTGTCTATTATATAATAATCTATAATATATTGTTTTATCTATTGAAATATTTATATATATATATAGGGATTTCTTTTTGTAACTTCATATATATCTAATTTTCCTATCTATCTATCAGAGAAATATTTAATCTATAGAAAAGTTTTTTAGAATATATTAATATTTATGAACAGAATTATTAAATAAAATTTTTATAAACCTCTTAAAAATATTCAGAAAATTTATGTAATCCTACCGAAGAAAATAAATAACAAAAGAATTTCAGAGTTTAGGTATAAACGTTAGCCGGTTTCAAGATTCAAATGAACTAGAAACAAAATGGTTTTCTGTCCTCCGGTTTATTACTACTAAAAAAAAATAATATTTTATATTGAAGGAAAAAAAATAAATGAAAATTTCGAAATAAAAGATGAAACCTTAAGTAATTAGTTAAATAACATTAAAAATAAATAAGCCAAGTTTGTTGGCCAAACAGGAAACCTGCAGATAGGCAAAAAGGATCTTTTTTATTAAAATCCATCCTGGAGATATCTCGTCTTTTACACCGATAAATCTCCAAAATCCTTTTTTTTTTATGTTTTATTTTTTTGTTTCTTTAAATCTTTTTAAAAATTAATTATTTGAATTTTCGAAATATTAGAAACTAAAAAAAATTTATCAATATAAAAAAATTGATCTAAATTTCAACTTTATAAATAGATCTCTATTTCCGCCTGTGGAATCCCTATATACAAATTCCTTGATAAATATCTTTCAAATTTTTAAAAGCGTTAAAAGACATCTTTGGTATATGCGGCATTTAAAAAAAGGACAGTAATGGATCTTAAAATGGTTCTTCTATAAAATATATTTTGCGGATAATGGAATTAATATTTTAAAGATAATTTTTTTTATTGGACAAAAACAAAAGAAAAAAGAATAAAAATATTCATTCAAAAGAATTGTTTCGAAAAAAAATTAATATTGAAAATAAGAATAAATAAAAAAAAATATATTCCTGGTATGCAAAAAAATAACAATATTGAAAAAAAAATTGTAACTTTTACTAAATTGTATAATTAAACAAATAAAAAAAAAATTAATTTAAACTGAGTAATAACGATTTAAAAAATATATATTGCTTTAAAACAGAATTATCAAAAAAATATATATTTTGGTAATTTTTTCCTTTGGAATAAAATTAAAAAAAAAAATTGTTAATTTTAAAAAATTTATCCATATGGCAATAACGAATAAAAGAAAAAAATATATATTGCTGGTAATAACGAATTCAATAAAAAAATTATATTGCTGGTAATAATGAATTAAATAAAATATTATATTTTTCTGGTAATTTTTTTAAAATAAAAAAAATATATATTCACTGGTAATGAATAAATTAAATAAAAAAAAATAATTTTCTGGTAATAACGATAATAAAAAATATATGGAAGGGTGAATGTTAACCAATTAAATAAAAATATTATATTGCTGGCAATAACGAATTAAATAAAAAAATATATATTGCTGGTAATAACGAATTAAATAAAAAATATATCGCTGGTAATAATGAATTAAATAAAAACATTATATTGCTGGTAATAACGAATTAAATAAAAATGTAATATATTTTGGTAATAATAAATTAAATAAAAATTATATTTTGGTATATTAAAAATTAAATAAAACATTATATAAATTGGTAATAACCAAATTCAAATATATTGCTATTTAATAACGAATTAAATAAAAAATAAAAATATATTGCTGGTAATACAAACCATTTCTTGTTTATTAATTTTTCTTCTTCAATATATTGTTGATAATCTTTTTTTTACTGTATATTTGGTCCAGTTGCCTATTTTTACACTTTCATAGTGTTTTTATGCATCTCATCAGAAAAAACTGTTTTAAAATAGCTGGGACTAAAGAGGTGGGTCCACAATTTTCAAAACCTGTGATCAGAACGTTGCTCTTGGATTTGGGGTTAAATTTGCAGGACCAAGATAAATTTGATATATCAATTAAATTTTATAAATGAAACTTTTAATAAATTTGTTATTCAAAAATGTTTATTTTCAATTTTTTTCTTTGATAATAATTTTAATTGATACTTATAAGCTTGTGGGTGAAGGTTGTATAATATATATATATATATATATATATATATATATATATATATATATATATATATTTTTTCATGTAAGAAAGAACTTGAATATGAATATAAATAGGAGGAAAAATTATCCCATTTACAAAATTGAACATGGAAAATACATGAATAAAAATTAGAGGAAAAAATACAAACATTTTGAAAATTAAAGAAGGAATTTATTTGCGAACTTTCACGAATTTTTTAAATAAAGAAAAATTTAAAAAAATGGACTATTATGTGAAGATATAATTTTCTATTCTTTTTTAAATAAAAATGATTTTTGCGAATGAAAGAAGAAATTAAATGCAAAAGTCAATGAAAATTAAAAGAGAAAGTCATTTGAAAAAAATTAATGAAAGGAATTTCTTATTTATAAAAGTTCATATAGCTCCCTATTAATTTGTAAATGTCAATTTTTAAAAAATAAAATGATGGTGAAAAATGAATGTAAATGTAAAGAAAAATTAAAAAAGATTTTCCGAATGAAAGAAGGAATTTATATGGAAAAAGCCAATGAAAATTAAAAAGAGGAAAATATTTAAAGAATGGAAGTAATTGAAATAGGAAGCCTGAAAATAAACGGGAAAATGAAAATATTTAGAAAAATGTAAGAAGTAATATCTAGAACCCTAAGAGGTGCTTACATACTTCTCAAAACCACCTGATCAGAGACGCTGCTCTTGGATGTAGTTTATCGTCTTATCCAGGACTTAGAGAATTTGATATATCAATTAGATTGTTTTACGGTTTATGTCTTTTGCAAGTTATTCAAAGCCAGAAAACATGTTTAGATTGTAAGAATTTTGTGGATCAAAATTAAATAAATAGCAAAAAAACAAAAAAAATGGCGGAGACGATACATATAAGAAAATAGAAATAAAAAAAATAGATGAGAAAATAAATTATAGAACTGAGAACAATAAAAGCATGATATGGCTCTAGGTGTGTGATTTATATCAAATATATTTATTTTCTTATATTACGGTTATATTTTAATCATTCGCTCCAGAATAGCAACCAACGTCACGAACGAAAAACAATATATATAAAAATTATATACTTCATGGGAAATTTTATATTTGAAGCCTAAGATATTTCTTCCTTTTGCCTCTTTAACTATGTCTGTCGATGTGAAAATACGCGTACCATTTCCTTTTTAAATAAATGAATACTCTATTTATTTTGCTTTTTAAAACCATAAAGAGATTCAATGTCAGTATACAAGGCAACGGAATGTGGCGTTAATTCCTTCCATTGTTTGGTCCTTATCGACCAGAATATACCCAAAAGGATTCAGCTCGAAGAAGAAAGGAACAACACATGTAATATTCGAAATTTTTTTCATATTTAACGACAGGACAAAACAATCATTGTGTCCATGGTGGTCATGAAATAAGTTAATATTCATAAATAAAAATTATATATTTCAGAACGACAAGTTATATTTAATTTATTTTAAATTTATTTCAATTTTTTATAATATAATTTGTATGTATAAACACATCACAGAATACACACACACACACACACACACACATATATATATATATATATATATATATATATATATATATATATATATATATATCAATAATTCATGCACGTCAATTTCAATGAAAAAACACACAAACAGACACATAAACAAATAGACACAACGTGGAGTGATATCATATAGATATATATATATATATATATATATATATATATATATATATATATATAATATTATATATATATAATATACACAGGTCCATAACTGCAGAGAACAGACACAGATTGTGGTCACACATTTTAGACACACACACACACATCACATTTAAAACATTTACCCATTTACACACACATGTCAGTCGTACACACATACACATAACACACACACATATATATATATATATATATATATATATATATATATATATATATCAATAATATGCACGTCCAGAATTACGTTCAATATACACACAAACATATACACACTGAAATAACACACACACACACACATATATATATATATATATATATAACAGAAGGCATGCACGTCCAGATCCTTTATGACAACACACACACACACACACACACACACACACACACATACACACATATATATATATATATATATATATATATATATATATATATATATATATATATATATAAATATATGTGCAATGTGTGAAAATATATACAAAAATAGGAAGGAACTGGTTAGGTAAATAATCCAAAGTTCTTAGTATTTTAGTTATTATTTTTAAAAATAGTGCTCGATACAAAAGTAATACATAAATATAATTATTTATTTAAAAATATGATTCCAACTCGCGACATAAGAGGTCTCATGTTTCAAAACAAGAGCCGAAAACTTCAATATAATTATTTGAATTAAATTGAGTTAAAATAAGCTCTGTTCCATCTTCAAAGCGAATTTTTTTTTTTTTGGAATAACGTATTTCTGAAATTTACGTGTTTTAATAATTGAAATCAAAATTTCCATGGTAACAGCTAGGGCGAATTGTTTAAATTGGGTAGGCGTGTGTTGGGTGTTAATAATAAGTATCAGTATAGAGTTACTTTCATAGATGTCAAGTCAGGGAAATATGGGGGTGTCTAAATTTGAAACGGAAGATGTTTTAACCCTAGTCTGGTTTACGTGTCTATGGAGATTTATTTATTTTTTTTTATTTTATTTTTTTTTATGAAAGGGATTTGTGCATATAAAAAAAACTGCCGTAACATTTTGTTTTTGACG